AGCACACACATACATACTTATACAAATATACATATTTCCCATAATTACCATATTTTTTCATTATTTAATTTATACATTAAACATATATTATTTTAATTGTTTGTTTGTGTGTTAACCACATTTTTAATTTTTTTTTAATATTATTATGACTGAAAAGAAAATAATGAAAAAAATATTAATAATAGAGAAAAAAAAGTTGTAAGACTTGAATATTGAAAAGAAAATAATAATAATAATAATAATAATAATAATAATAATGATAATAATAATAATAAGCACACACATACATACGATCATAAAAAAAAGTTTTAAGACTTGAATAATAATAATAATAATAATAATAATAATAATAATAATAATAATAATCCAAAAAAGAAAGTGTATAAAATTAATAAGGGAGTAACTCAGCAAAGATGTGGCATGCCCGACCGGATGTCAATTGTGTTGATTAGTTATGCAAGAGACTCGAGGTTGGTAAGACTATTGGTTTAATACTTGTGAGACTCAAGTTTGATTTCTGCTGCAACAATTTTATTTATTTATTTATTTATTTTTTAATTTTTTTGCTGGCCGGTGTCTCTAATTTAATGATATATGCCCCCCTTTTCTGTCTTCCCCCTTCTCGCATCGCAGCTTACAAGAACAAAAAAAAAAACACGCTACAACTCTCTCTCTATCTCTGGTGGTCGACGCACTCTTCCCCCTGGTGGCGACGCCCCTTCCTCCTCCTCCACTTTTCTGACGTCGACGGCACTGCCACTGCCGGTGCTTCTTCCTGCTGCATTTTCCCGTCGCCGAGCCAAAGGTAAACACTAGTTTTTTTTTTTTTCTTTTTTGTTTCTTTTTTAAAAATTACTTTGTTTTAGGTGTAATTTTGTTGAATGTTAGCTAGTAAGGTTGATTTTTTTTTTGTTAAATATGAGGTTTTAGGTTGATTTTTTTGTTAAATGTGATGTTTTAGGTTGATTTTGGTGTTTAAGATTTGTTAAAATTACTTCCTCCTTCACTTTGTTGAATGTGTGGTTATAGATTTATTAAATATGAAATATAGGTTGAATTAGAGTTTTTAGATTTGTTAAATATGATATATATGTTATATAAAAAATGTTAATGTTAAGTTTATATATGGATTTTTAGTTAATTTAAAATGCATATTATGATATTGATCATTTGTTGAAATGTTATGTATCGTTAGTCATACATATTAGATTAAATCGGATGTTACACTATTATATTGAAATGTTAGGATTTTATTTAACATTTTTAAATGGAAATGTAGTTTTAGATTAAAATGTTGTCTAATAGAGAATGCATGTACACGAAGAGACTTGATAGTTGTCGTTTGTTTAATCCACAATGACCACATTATGTCAATTTGTTTTTGGATTTTGCTTACATGAACGCAACAAACATCCAACGTATTATTAGGGAAGGGGTGGAAGTTTTTGTTGATGTTAAGAGCATTGTCTTCTTTTTTAAAACCTTAAAATTAAATGTTGTTTTTTTAATGATTTTGGTTTGGACATATTGTTCTTTTAAATGTGACAATCGTCAATCTTGAGTCAAGTCAAGTCATCAAGTCAAGCCGGTCAACTCGATTAAACCTTGTGTATTAGGGTTTGTGTTATGTTCATACTGTATAACTTGCTATATTAATGGGAAAACATCACTTGAGAAAAGTCTTGTGTTAAAAATTTCCTAAACCCTAGTTCTAATCAATGAACTAGACCGATAAAATAATGTTGCATACTCATCGGGAGTATGTAAGATCCTTAAACAAGGCTTAACAGGGTTCACGAACCATGCATTTCGATGCCGGACACTCACAACTATCCCACATGGAACCTCTCTCAATCGTTTTCACTCTATCTCTCTCTATGTCAAATCTCTCCGAAATCTCTCCAAGTATGCGAAATCTCTCTTAAATATCTCTCTGTATGAGAAATCTCTCCAAGAATGTCAAATCACTCCCAAATCTCTCCAAGTATGTGAAATCTCTCTCAAATATCTCTTTGTATGAGAAATCTCTCCAAGAATGTCAAATCTCTCCCAAATCTCTCCAAGTATGCGAAATCTCTCTCAAATATCTCTCTGTATTAGAAATCTCTCCAAGAATGTCAAATCTCTCCCAAATCCCTCTAAGTATGTGAAAACTCTCGCAAATATCTCTTTGTATGAGAAATTTCTCCAAGAAGGTCAAATCTCTCCCAAATCTCTCCAAGTGTGAGAAATCTCTCCCAAATCTCTCTCAAATAGTTCCCGTAACTTTTTAGAATCATTCGGGTCATTTCGGTCCTTAACCGGGTCAAAAACGGCTTAAAACGGGGCGAAAACGCGAAAAACGGACCTTAGGAACCGAAACCCCTCTTAGGAACCGAAACCTCCTGATGAAGAAGGCTGCTGATCCAAACCGAAGGTACTGTTCACTAACCGAACCGAACGTACTGTTCATTACAGTCCGTTCGGTTCTGACATTCTCGCCTCTTATTCCCGAACCGAACCTCACCTTCGCTACTGACCCTTCGGACCGAGCCTTCGGACCGGACCCTCGCCCTTCACTTCTCGCGTCTAACTCGCGCGTTTCGCTTCCGACTCCAACCTCAGCATGGACCGAGCCTCGGCCTAGGGACCGAACCTCAGCCTAGGACCGAGAGGTCTCGCTGGGAACTCATTTTCTTCCCGGTTTTCGCATAGTTTTGCATTTAAGGCCCGTTTTTAATTATTTTAACGCGGGATTGTCACCCAAAATCATATTTTAACATAATAAACCCTAAATATTCTCAATTTAATCATATTTTCATAAAAATCCTTATTTAAATAATAAGAGCAAGTGGGTAAAGTACAAAGAGGTGGAGTGTTGACTTTGCTTTACTTTATGACACAAGCAACCACTCCTACACCCACTCTATGACCAGCCACACCTCCCCACCTTACCTAGGTCACATCAATGTCCTTTCCACTCAATCATCACTCCTCCCCACGTTTTTGGAGAGCTGAATATTCACCCTCTCTCCTCATTTCTCTCATTTCCTCTCTTTTCACCAAAAAGAGCAAACTCTTTTCTCCCTCATTTTCCCTCTCTAGAACTCGAGATTTGAGGGCTGATCTTTGGATTTTCCTCCACATTTGGTAAGAATAATCCATTCTCTTTATGATTATCTCAATTATTTCCACTCGAATCATGGATATCTTAAACAAACTCTCTCATAATTGTGTTAGATCTTCGAATCTTCAAGTGATTCTTCAAGTGTTCTTGGGTTGAACACTTCTCTTCTTCAACACTTACCTACTGAAATCACTTAAGGTGAGTTCATACCCCTACATTTTCATGTTTTCTCAAGTTTTCAGGGGGGAATACAAGTTAAAACACTCAAGAACATAACTAAATTTTCTAACAGCCTTCATCAGAAAAGTTCAACTCCATTCACGGACTGTTTTGGGCATCTTAAACATTTTTGTTTTCAAAACTGTACAAAGTGAAAATAGTTCAAGTTTGTAGCTTTAAAATGAATACTTGCACATCTCCATACGATTTTTCTACAATTTATGGTGATTTTTACAAAACTGCCTATCATTTCAAACAACAATCCGGACTAGTCTGTGATTATGGACATTTTCACCCAAGTTGGAGGTCATTAAAATCGTGATAAAAATTATGAGTAAACTAGACACATTTTATGAACTCTCAGAATTTACGGATCTAGTTTTCGACTTCGTATGATTTTTCTATGATTTTTCCAAAACAGGGCAGAATTGCTAAAGTTAGCCAACAGCATGTAAATATCATAACACTTTGTAATATGTTGAGCAAAGTGTATAATCATAAGTTCTAATATTTGAATGTGTTTCCTTGTTAGTTTATCATTATGAACTGAAACTAAGTCATTCATATTAAATATTATTCATTCATTTAGAACACGTATTATGTAACTATAAAAAGTATAGTTTGATAAATTCACAACACTAATACATTTCCATAAAAGAATTCATACATATTATATACATTTTAGATAAACTATAATAGGTATAGTTTATGATACATCACTCAACACACTCGTACAAAAAGGGTACATTCATACAAGAAAGATTTATATCCACACACATTTCACGTAAACTTGTTAACCTATGTTGTGAGACTCTCTCTCCCCGTACGTCCGAGTGCGGGATATAATTCCTGGTAGTTATAATCAAAATCTCCTTGAGGGAGAACGTGATACTTGTATATAGATCTATATTGGGTTTGACACCCCACACCTTGCTGCTAGCTACAGTGGGACCTGCAGGTCTACGGGTGACAAATGTCATTTCATTTTCGCGACGCCTGAGAAACGTTGTGGCAGGTTCACATAGTCACAGTATGATTATAGCGACTCACCTAGGGAGATAACAATTCATAAAGTTTACGGGGTTTCATAAAACCGAAGTAGGTTTTAGGTTGATAAAGAAATTTACTTTCCATATCATTTTAAACTCACGACATTTCTACTAAGAAATGATGATTTCTTATACATTTTAGTCTTTGGTTATAAGGCTACATTTTTCGGATTTCAAGGAAAATATCGGATTTTTCTGAAACAAACGCGACATTTACATGTGAAAGACTTCTACTAAGTTTATTAATAAAAGCTTATGAACTCACCAACCTTTGTGTTGACACTTTTCAAATAACTTGTATTCTCAGGAAAACACTAAACAGGTAATCAAGTGCTTTTGAGGATGGGACGTTAAGGCGTCAAACTTTTCATATTTTGTCAACATATTGTAATTGATTTTGAAACATGTAATTCATACAAGTGATGTAACTTTTTCAATTATATATATGTTGGTTGTGTTTGCTTAAATTACTATTGAAATTGTGGTTATGATACTATACATGAAGTCCTCCACCCCCGGACGTTTCCGCCATCCTTGGTTTGGGGGTGTGACATTAAACATTTCTTTTGTCATAACTATTAATCATATATTATATAACTGACTATTCGTGTTCTATTAGATGCAACATGTCGGGTATTAGATGCAAGGATAAAGGCCACAGTAACAACTCTTTTTCTGGTAGTGCGAGGCACAGGATGGGGAGGGCATCCCCTAATTCTACCGAAGAGCCACGTTATAGGACGACACTCGTACCCATCGATATGCCGATAGTGAAAGGAGTTGTAGGCTCCAACAGTCAGGGTGCTATTAGTCAGCAAACCGATATAGCTGATCCTTTAGCAGACTTGGTCGGGATTCTTTGCCGTCGGGCTCGAGAGACGGGTCATATACCCTAGGTCCCACATACGGATTATAGGCCTCAGCTCCCACCATAGATGGATTATAGACCTCATTCCCCACAAATGTTTTTGAGGGCAGGTGGTAATGATGGGTTTGAGGACTATTGTTTTGAGGGTGCAGATGCAGAGGCAACCTTTCGGTCACCACATACCCCACACACACCAATGGCACCGAACACGCCATTGACGTCGCATGGCTCAAATGCGAGTTATTTTCACGCCTCATCCTTTCCCCTCATCAGCCGAGATCTGGAAAAGTTAGTGTTTTCATCATTTAAAACATAATTTCTTGATGTTATAGTTATACATATATATTTTTTTCAATACTGTAGGTTTGGGGATCAAAAATCCACAGGGCGTGTATTCATCTCTTTTGGGAGAATTTAGATCATCCGTGGGCCCGGTTCAGTGATATTCCAAATGAGGCTCTTCTACATATGTTTTCGCATTTTGGGGTAATATATTAAATACTTGTTATTGTATCTTATACTTATTTGTTTTTAGTTGGTATTTTTAAATTTACTTTTTATCCTTTACAGACAATGCATAGGTGGCATTCACAAGAGAATGAGAACATATTTGATGCATTCAAGTGTGTCCTCAAGGATAGATACAGAGACAGGATGAAAGGTATCAGGAGACAATCTGCCAACATGGCATGAAATGATGGGAAACCCCTCCCCCCAAAGTTTTGTAGCTACTATGATGGGATGCATAACTACCGCCCCGAACGCGTACCGGAGACTGTGTGGCAACGTTTGTGTGATGTAACGGATATGATACATTATTATTTTCTTGTTAAGTTTTTTATTTCTTATTATATTATTGTACTTATATATATATATATATATATATATATATATATATATATATATATATATATATATATATATATTTCTTTTCTTTTCAAAGCATTGGTCCATAGAGAAGTGGCAAAATAATTCAAAAATCACTCATTAGAACTGCAACACCGCAGATTCTAGTGGGTCAACAACAAGACACACTGCGGGTAGTATAGGATTTGACCAGCACCGTAGGAAATTAGTAAGTATCACAATAATAAATTTTATTATTCTTATTTTGTTATAACACTAACTACATTAATTCTACGTTGACTTTTATGTAGGAAAAATTGATGGGTAAACCACTCACACAATATGATGTTTTCGTGAAGATGCATGACACTGCCGAGTCAAAGAACAAATATTTTGAGGGAAATCATGAAAATATTGAATATTGCTCGCAGACGGCCAAAGAGGCACTAGTAACTTATCTTTATCATGTATGTATATTGATTGTCTCATTTTTGTATATGACAATCATGTTTTTTGTAATTTGTAGGAGGGGTATCTGCAAGGTTTGGTCAACAAATTTGGTGAAGATCCTTCAAATCGTAAGGATGATGTAGATGTATGGGAGGAAAGCCAACTTAGAAGAAAAGGAAAGAAGAAGGGTGCTATCTATGGGATAGGAGCATCGGATATACATTTTTTGGTTTTAGTGACTCCATCTTCCCAATCGACCCAGTCCACCCAGTCGGATAACACGCAACAAGAGGTATGTTGATAATACTAATTAAATTGATAATAAACAAAAATGTGTTGCTATTATGGTTAAAAGTTAGGTAGTTTGGTGAGAATATTGATTAATTTGATAATATACAAAAGTATGTTGCTATTATGGTTAAAGGTTATGTAGTTTGTTGATAATATTGATTAAATTGATAAAAATAAATATATGTTGCTATTATGGTTTAAAAGGTTAGGGTATTGCTATAATTATAAACTAAAATGCATTGTTACAATAAACTAAAATACATTGCTATTATTGTTTAAGTATTGAATTGTGTCACCATTTCTTAGGTTGATAGGTTGCGTGCGCAAGTTTCTGTCATGGAACAACAACAACAACAACAACAAATGAAAGAACAAATGGAGATGGTTATGAGGATGATAAATATGTCTAGTCATCAACCCCGTGGTCCCCCCGATAATCCACCCGAGGACAATTGATAACTATTTTGGAACAATTGAACTTGTAAACACTTGTATTGTTTGCTTCTTTTGTTATGCCTAATTTCTATGGTACTTGAGACATTTGTATGGTATTTAAGACAATGGAATTGAATGTGTCAAAGTTGGTATTAGGGACATTTTTTGGTGTATTTTGGACAAATTGAATTGATATGGTATTTGACAAAAAATGGAAATTTTTAAATTTTTTAAATTTATTTTTTTGATAAAATGAATTAGCTACGGACTAGCTACGGAAATCCGTCGCTAAATAGGTCCATAGGTATTCCGTAGGAAGAAAGTCAATTTTAGTCAAACTTGAGTTCTATCGTTAATCCGTAGGAAATCCGTAGCTAAACAGTTCTGTAGCTATTCCATAGGAAAATACTTGCATTGGAAATCCGTAGCCATGTTATTACATAGCTATTCCGTAGGAACATACACCCGTTGGCAATCCGTAGGTATTCCGTAGCAATTACTGGCCGTAGCTATTCCGTAGCTATTATACCTACGGAAATATCCGTAGCTATTCAGTAGGTAGTCCGTTCAAATTCCGTAGGTAAAAATTTCCCACGGGCATTTATGCTACAGGGCATTTTCCGTAGCAAATCCGTAGGTATCGCCTTATAACTACCGAATAGTTACGGATTGTACCGTAGCCTAGTTTTCTAGTAGTGCCAACACCTAAAAGTGTGGAGTGTAAGGAAAAATCTCCCACCTGTACTTGTCTCTTGGGAACTTCTAGTTAGATATCAATAACTTCTCTGTCTTTCAAGGTACCATGTGGCAATGGATTGCAGATACACGTGATGAAAGATTTACCATCAAGACTCTTAGGAACATTATAGATTGCAAAACTCTAGAAGTAAACCACACTGAATCATTTTGGAACCGGAGTATTTGCGGTAATGCTAACATCCTCGTTTGGAGAAAGCATCTTGAAAGACTGCCAAGCAGAACAAATATGCACAAATTGTTGTTCCTATAAACACGATGTGTTGTCCTTTTATGTAACTGCAAAGAAGAGACACACGAACACCTTTTTCAGGAGTGTTCAACATCTAAAGAAGTCATTTTCCTATTTCATCATGCATGGACTATGCCAAAAAAAAGTTTAAATGTGGTGTTTATGTGGTGCTTGTTGCTTTTGCATGGACTATATGGAGATTCCGAAATGATAACATATTCAACAACATTGCGAAACGCATCCCAGACTTAGCAAGTGAGGGGAAAACTCTAGCTTACAATTGGTTAAAAGTTATGTAGAACAAAAGCAGCTCCATGAATTGGCTTAATTGGTGTATTTCCTGACAACGGAATACTAATCACTTGCTTGTTTTTTCAATAAAAATATCTTGCTGATAAAAAAAGCTTATATACTATCTGTTTTACATAGATCTATTCATAAACCTTTCATCAATTTCTTTTAAAATCCTTCAAAATTTACTGAAAATGATCTACATCTGTTGTCTGTTTCTTTTTGTGCGATGTATTATTGTGTGGTAAAGATTGAAAGCATTATTTTTCTTTCTTCGAAATCGTATTTTTGCTATTAATAAATTAAGCAAGTTGTTGCCATTATTATACGTACTTGGCCACAATGAGGATGAAGTATATCAGTTGGATGGTTCCCATGCATGAAACGTAACTTATTAGCATCTGGAAATAATGATCAAGGACATCTATTATCCAGCATATTGGTGTTTCTCTTTTATTTTACATAAAAATAGAATTTTCCTGTGTACTAATAAATTTCCTCTAATTAATGTAGTCATCTTTTTTTTTTTTAGTAAATTACACCAATCGTCCCTATGGTTTGGTTAATTTACGCGTTTGGTCTCTAACTTATTTTTTTAACTCGGAAGGTTCCTACTGATTGTTTTTGTTACGCGTTTGATCCCTATCTTACCTAAAAAGACTATTATACCCTTGATATATTTTTTTATTTAAATAAACACTCCACTAATCCCACCCCTCACCTTAACTCACTTACCTCATTATTTTTTCTACTTTAAATAATAGTCTGTTTAGATAAGAAAGGGACCAAACGCGTAACAAAAATATAGATTAGAGATCAAACGTGTAACAAAAACAAACCATAAAGACCTTCCGAGTTAAAAAAATAAGTTAGGGACCAAACACGCAAATTACCCCAAACCATAGGGACCATTCGTGTAATTTACTCTTTTTTTTTTTTTTTTCATTACGGCATGGATGACAACATAATTTTTATACACATAACTTCAGCCTTGTCTTTTACTCGTGGTATGTGTTCTATGAATAAAACACTGTTCGGATAAATGATATTTAAATGATAAATGAAAAAACATTGTTTCACATTTATGGAAATATAACGGAAAACTAGATATGTACATGTATTAATTCACTATCGAGCAATTCCCATATGAATAGGCATGGGACATAAATCATGTATTATTGTTAATACATAAGATAAACTTTAAAAAAAAAAAAAAAAAAAAAGAAAAAAAAAAAAAGACGTTACCAGACAATTCATATGTCGATACACATGGGACAAGTATGTGGGGGTGGTTCTACATCATGCATGCATTGAAACAATACAAAGATACAAATAACCTTTTTGTTTTCTTAGATGGTCATTATCATGAAGGCTCGTGTAGTGTAGCATTATTAATGAAACTTAAAGAAGGTTGTTACAAACTGGCAAAGACGAAGAGGATTCTTCTAGTACTAATGATTGATGTTTGCTTGAAAATGTTTGATCTTTTCCACACGGCCTACTTTGTGTGGTTGCTTGATGGCGGTGGTGGCGGTGTCACTAGTCATGATGCTAATTTGATGGTGAAGTTGTTGTTGCCCGGCCACCACCATCGCTGGTTATGACTTTTAGCAATGTAAACAAACTTTTCCACCACATACGTATTTAATAATTCATGGGACATGTGCATGATTCCAAATATATGGATAAGAACAAAAAGGAATTGAGAGATCTTTATGTATTTCAGTAGCAATAGACAGAATATATAGATTTTTTTATTTCAACTGTTGTGATCCATTAAAATAGTTTTAAGAATATACTTAAATATGTAATCACTTGTTTCCTTGTTGTTGTATATATGTCCCTGTCCTAAACATCTTTTTAAAAAATATTGTAAGTGTTCGTTTTTTATTCGCCAATAAAATCTACCATAAAGATAATTATAATAATTGAGTAAGTAACCTAAAGTCCCGACCATAGATGAAATTAAATAGCATACGATATTCAAAAAGTAACGTTTAAAAGGCGTTTCCCAAGTACTTCGTTCAAAAGGCGTTACACAAAAAAGATACCGTTATAGTTTCTAGTTACATCCTTAATGGAATTTTACATAAGTCCTTACGTTTTTTATGTTAATACACGGTTTTTTTCTTTTACCTTCTATTTCAAACGGTAGCCTTTTTGGTGATGCGGTTGATGGTTGTGTTGTTTTCTTTTTGTGGCTACAAATTGGTGATGGTGTCGTTGCTTGACTATGTGGTTGAGTTGGGTCATGTGTGTTTCTCTGGGCGTATGACAAACATTTTAGATTCACCAATTGTTTCTTTTAATGCCTTTGGAATTGAGTTGTTGTCATTGTTTATTTCTTTTATAATCGCATGACTTTTGTAGTTTTCTCACCACAAAATCCAACATCAGTGCATTTGTTGTTGAGTTTTCGTCTAGAAGTGTCACTGTAATGCGAAACCTGCATTCGTTGTAATATAAACATGAATTTTTTATATTCGTGTTAGTTGCAATACTAATTTAGTAGTAGCACACATGAAAGTTGGATGTTTAATGTCATCGTCTGCAGTGCAAAACCATTAATTTCCACGTTTGAAAACTTTGCAATTGCATTTTCGGCATAATAGATAATACCAATTAGACGTGGTATTAATTCGTTAAATATAAGCATTGGAAATGAATGATTCTCCCTGGATTGATAAAATTATATATATTTTTAAAAGGCTTTTTTAATGTTTCATTCATTCTTTGTGTTAAAACAGAAAGCGTACTTACAAACATGAAAATTAGACATTTATCACTTTCTGAAGAAATTTTGTTGAACTACAAAATTTGAAGTTTTTTTTTTTGATAGCCAGCAGTATTTTTAAACCAAAAGGTTGTGCTGGTGGTAACTTTGTTTTAATAATTCGGTTGTGAAACATTGAGCTGGTGACAGGATTATAATTGCAAAAATTTTAGTAACTATAACAGGTACTATTACTCTATTAGTGGTGTTAGGTTATGAAAGCAAAACAGAATTTAGGGAGTTTGTTAAGTAGTTGAAAACTTACAATTGCTTCATTAGCTGGAGCATGGAGAATTTCTGCAATTGCGGATTATTTTCTTTCACTATAAAGAAGCTCTACAAACGGTGTTGTGAGTTGTGCATTCGGAGATCGAGTAGCTGCATTTCATTTCTTGGGTTTGTTAGTGTGCTATTGTTAGATGTTTGAATTTAGTTTGGTGCATTTGGGATGAGGTATACATGGGTTGCGTATGTTCATTGAGCTGTAAGCCTGTAATTCTGCACGGTGATAATAGTTATATGGTATATGGCAAAATGATTAGTAGTATAGTGATTACCTAGAACATTGACAATTTTTCATGTCGTAATTGCAATTACATTTTTTGTTCAGCATTTTCTATTGCATTTCTGTTGAACTTGTTAATTGTTGTTGTTATTTCTGTGATTCTGTCCACAATCTAATTCTCCTCCGGCGGTTGCTAAAATAATCAATGGGATTTGTATTTATTTATTATTTTTGTTTTATGAGGAATAAGTTATATGATGTTTGGTTGCTAAAATTGTTGCGATAATTCTGCATCAGGGGCAAAGTTTCATTTTCATAGTATTAGATGCACATAAGGAAAATTCCCTTTTCATAGTATTTAACTATATTAGGTGCATGGTTTTTAGAGTTTAATTAGGATTTTAGTAGTTTAGAATAAAGTGTTCGTGATTTTAGTGTCACCATGTCATTTTAAGTAACTGGAA